GGCGGGGCATGTGCGAGTTGCCTAAAGAAAAATCAGCGAGCAGCGAAGATAACTTGTGGCGTGTGCGATTAAGATGCAACAAGAAATTGGAAAGCAAGAAAAAAGGCCTCTAAAATATAGGTCAATGTAATATTTGCACTTGTACTCTGCTCTGTTTTAAAATATATGATGTTTACAAAATTCGTTATTTCTTTAGAATTAATTGGAATGTCCAAACGAAAGACTAAATGGACGACCATAGATGTGTGAACGGGAGCCTTAAATTTTCTCCGTGAAGCAGACGGTATTATGTAGGGTTTGTACCAAAGGTCAACACAAGCTTCTTTTCTAGATCTTGCTATGATCATGTAGTCATAACATACGGTCTTAGGATGATGCGGAAGCCAAACGACCAAATGAACTTGAGCTACAGAGAAACATATGGTTGGGATGCATACTTGGCTAACTTAAATGCAGCGAGAGTAGGCTGAAAGATTTGAAGCCCCGCAGCGTCATGTGTGGAGAGGTAGGAGAAGCCCCCTGACTTCCTTGATCCGAGGTAAAAATGCCCTTCTTGATTAGCTTCGAGAGGACCAGATGCAAACAACGTACTTATTAGTTTGGGTATCTCTCTAGGACTCTGCCAGCAGATGAGACTTGCTCCTCGACAACTCCAGCCATCAGTGCAAGGACCCTCCAGCTAACCAAGCTGAACTGAAGTTACATTCTTTGGTCAACTCCCGATTTAACCTAATTACTTTGGCCATCCCCGGATAGCACCATTCATGCTAGCCGTTCTATGTAGCCACCATCCCTAGGATCATATTACAATTAATATGACATACATAGCTCAAACAGGTTCAACTAATTATTATTTAAAAGGGTAGCTCAAGTTTAGCAAAGCATGAATACTGAACAAGGTGTAGCTTGATCTTCCATGAGTCCTTTCATCAACACCTACTCTAAAGATAGAAGTCATGAACGTGCTCAGAACCGAGAGCGCGACATTCAAGTGGTCACAATGTAATTCAAAGATCTGAAGAGTGTACATGTTTTACCCACCCAAGAACAAAGGTTACAGCCCATATGACCCATGGGTACATAAAGAGTAACTCATGCCCCAACCATTCTCATATATATCTGGTCAATTCATCCATGAACAATTTGAGATGTGCTAGAGTACTAGCATTCTAGCTACCCCGCACCACGTCATGTCAAATCACGCGGTTATCTGGTCGTGGCATGATACTAGGTTTACCAATCCCATACTTGGCAATAAGTGTGGTTTCTAAAAGGGGGTGTTCAAGAATCGCTACGAGCAAGGCATGATACAATGGTCCTTAGCTCACCAAGTGAGTAATATACCATCTAAGATCCCGTCTCGCCATGATCCTTGGCAACCCATCAGAGTGCATACTCCAAATTCATAATGAGCTATGTCGGCATACTTTGGCGACGATCTTTGCTGGAGCCTTAGACTTTAGGGTCCATTAGATGCGACAATTGTGCACTCGCTAAGAGGCCCGAAGCCCTCCACAAGAAGTGATGGTTAGATGTGGGAGAATATTGCCATATGGTAGATTATATTGGCTAAGGACCGAGCTTTTGTTACCTTATCGAAACTAGTATAATGCCCGTGCTAACGCCACGGCTTTATTTTGAAGATGCATATGAAAACAACCAATGATTTTTTTTTCATAGTTCAACTTTTACACAATTGTATTTGAGCATGTTTATAATCCGAGAAACACTTTTACATAAGAAGGCATAGTAAGTTATTTCTCGTATTAACCATCTAAGTTACATTCTGCCTAAGTCCTTAATCATGACTTGGAGATCTTTAGGGAAGCTGTCAAAATATTCGTTTGCACAGCTCTTCAAAATATTCGTCAAGAATTCTATCCTCGGTGAAGTTGATAACTGTACGTGCAGATAATAAGCTAAATTATTAATTTTCTTGTCGTAACAGCTCCTGACACTTGTCATTCATAAATCGTACCCATCAGTAAAACTCGCAAAGAGCAAGCAATGGCAGCGGCGATCCTGGTGCTATAGGCCGGGCATCCAGCAGGCGCCCGCCTCCACCATAAATCAAGTAGTGTAGTCCTAAAAATTATGGACCAGTCTAAATATCGTTTTCAGTAGTGTATAATGATTAGATTAGTATTAGCAATTGTTTATAGCTAAACTCTAAGACATGAAAGTCACCGGGAATCAGAAAACTCACATAACCATGAAAGATGGCAGCTGTGAAAGGACATCAGGAATTGAGCCCTCCAACTTATTGTGTGATAAATTCCTGAAAATATATCAAAATTCAGAAACACAAATTTATCTTCACTGACTAAAATTCACTGCAGAATTAACGTGACTGAAAACATGTTGTTACAAAATACTCGAGTGCTTTGAGTTTGGCAAAGTAAAATGATACATCTCCGTTCAACCCGCTGAATGAAAGGTGTCCGTGTAAACATCCAAAAGTTCAGATGTCATAATTCAGACGAAAGTGCTGTTTATACTGAAAGCATACCTGCGATGTTGGTGATATCGCTTAGCACATCGCGTGTATCTCCGGGCGTAGACATTGCGAAGTACCAGCAAGGATCTTCAGCCGGCAGTAGCGGTGGGCAGCAGGGTTTCCTCCAAGATAAGATAACTGGGTACAGATTTAAGTGAATATTTGGTTTGGCACGGAACTAATTTGACATTATGTGTCAAATACAAATTTAACAGACTCATAAATTGGCATACCTTGCATCAAAATTAAGCCGGAAACATATGTTATCTGTGTTAGCATGACTGGAACTTCAAAGCATAAAAGTCAAGGAGGGCCTCATAGTAGGATCTTAAAAAATATGCAAGGAAGGTATATCTTTTTCCTCTATCTTTCTACTTATTTTTCTTTTATATAGACAGACCCCAAAAGGGAGTACTGATACGTAGCTCAAGCATTCATCGTAGTCATGCAATGAAATTCAGAACAATTAGAATAAACCAGGATTATTGATCATGGGATAGTTACTTCTGTCCCATCTGAATACTGAACTTTTGGTTTCGGTAAATTGAGTTGTATATAGAATTCTATAGTACCTCAGTTCACAAATAAAAGGAATTCTGATATTTGCAACACATGAATATTATTTAGTATTTTTTATATCAGTCAAGTTGCAGTGTTTCATAGAGGATTTAGAGGATTTAAACAGCAACATCTGTTGTTTCACAAACTTGATCACTATAGCTTAGGAAACCAAGGCAATGATCCCAAATATAAACAGATCTTTGAGAAAGCATGCTTAGGAGTCACAGAAGGGGCATATCAGCGTGACCAGTAAACAGGAAGAGCTCAGCTGTCGTAGTCCTGGACTAAACACGAACCGCTTGGCCAAACACTAAATAGCTAATGAGAAATCCTGTCTTGCTGTCCAAAACTCTTCACAAGCCTTCTCAGGATTTATCTACATAAACCTCCCAACATGACTCAGACTGAGCATTTTTTTAGCCTGGCATCACACTTCCAACATCGGCCATTGGATTGGGTGTGGGTGTTTTTTTAGCTCTTGATTTTAATGAATACGATTTATTATGTGTATTTTTGTGGGTGTACAATGGTTAGAGGCTCTTGACGAGGAATATTTTTCTGGAGAGACCTAGTATAATTTTTATTGATCCATTATAGTAGAGATTAGTCTTATCGTACAAAATAAATAATTCACAGAATCTCTAGTAATGGAAGTGAGACAGATTAGTATTTACATCAGTTCAAATTCCAAAGGTTACCAAGGGAGAAAAAGAAGAAAATCCATCCGAGCATATGATAGGGTTGTTAGCTAGCACCCATCTCTTGGCACTTCACAACCAAGGTGCATTCAATAGGATCCATTCATCCATATCCCTAACATGAATACATTATGGGTTTGCACTTTGATCTATCTGATTTATCTCCATGTCTTCTAGTAATTACCGGTAGGAATTATAGTCGGTCTGAGTTCGACTTCGATCCGCCTGCATTATCTCCATGTTGCTTTCACGTAGTTACTGGTTCCTCGGAGAGCATCAGTGATAAAATCATTAAAATCCAAAGGCAATAATGCAATATCTGTCAAAATTTTGTAATCTATGTAAAGTTTTATGGGACAAAATAAACATAAATCAAAAGAAAATTAAGTACAATATAGGCTCAAAATGCAAAGAAGTACCCATCCTTCAATCAGTAGAAGTCAACACTATTGACTGGCAAGTGGGAAAAAGTAACTAATGTCTAGAAAACCATTTAGTGCAAAATAGAAATGGAATTGAAGAACTAATTTAAGCACATTTATATGTCCATTTAAACCAATGAGCAGTGTGAAAACCAGCATAGTTTTGCATCATAAGTTTGATCTTCACAGCATACAAAGTAAATAATAAAGGCATGCTTCTAACGCCTTGTTTAGTTCCACCCCAACTTCCAAAAAGTTGCTACAGTATCTGTCACATCGAATGTTTGCGGCCCGTGCATGGAGCATTAAATGTAGACGAAAAGAAAAACTAATTGCACAGTTTGGTGGGAAATTGCGAGACGAACGTTTTAAGCCTAATTAGTCCATGTTTGAACACTATTTGCCAAATAAAAACGAAGGTGCTACAGTAGCCCCAAAATCCAAATTTCGCGAACTAAACAAGGGCTAAATACCATGATGTCATACTTCTGCAGAAACAGGGCCATATGGTCAGCTCCTGGATGTTGAACCTGGTCAATTCCTAATTCATTATGACATCCGAAAAATTTGAGGTTTCAAATGGCTGTTTACAAAACACATAACCATATTACTAACCCTGATAGCAACGTCTGTCTTTGATAATTTAAGCCTTGCTCAATGCACCTAACAAATATGAACCAAAATAAAACTTGGAAATTATCTAAAAAATTAGCGACAAAATAAGCGATCTGTTCCCAGTATGTATATGATGTTATGTTACAAAGAAATACCTAAGCACAGATGTTACCCCACTCCCCAGATTTCACAGATGAAGAGGAATACCTAAGCACGAACCTGTACAATAGAAGCAGACCCAACAGGCTCGACATCGAAGAATACGAATATGTCATCGGTGCAAGGTCAGGTTTTCCTAGAATTTGAGCAGCCTGTTCAAAATCGGATCGCTGCCTATTTTGGCTGGGTGGGGCTGAGGGCATTTGAAAATCAGAGAGGAGGAAAGAAAAAATAGAACAGGGCGAACCCAAGCACACTGCACACCAACCTTGAGGAAAAGAACGCCGAGCTCAGAGCAGAGGGAGTACGTCTTCTGGGAGGCGAGCTCGTGCTGCTGCTCCCACATGGCCTCCCGCTCGTCCTCATCCTTCACGAACCTACCGGCAGCTGGCACACCTGGACCGACCAAAGTGGTTCGCAATTAAATTCAATCATAGTTCAATCTCAGAGGATAAATCCTTCTTGACTCTCAATTAACATGCCATGAGAAGTTCCAAGCTTGAGGTGTGGCCTGGATTGAGAGGAGTGATATAATATATGAGTAAAGATGTTCACTGCTGTTTTATTTAGGGGTAGAGGTAGAAAATTAAACATGGGCGATGAAACAATCTTCATCAAATGATATTAAGCTCAGTAGGAACCCTAGTTTTGTCTACCGGGGAAACAAATTTGCAATACATAATCCGCACTCTAGGTATTGTCTCCAGCCACAGAAAAATACTTTTTGCCTTCTCCTTCAAAACCTGACATCCATAACGTAAGCAAGCTAGTTAGGATTAGAGCAGAAACAAAGAAATATTAACAGGTCAAATGCTCTATGGTAGATAATACCTCCATGTTCAGTAGTGAAGGACAACCATTTTGTAACATCCTTCAGACTTATATAAACAGTAATGTTCTCTTTGTTTGTCGAGAGCTTTGCACTGTTCCCTTGATGCTGCTGTTTTGAATCTTCTGCTTCCATCCAAAGGGGTCACAATAGCAATTCAATATTCAAACACTGTTGAATGCATGTAAAATTGGCATTTACATTTTATCAAAAGGAATGCTTCTGCCTTACAGATAGTGTGACAAAAGAGTGTCCAGTTGAACAAAATGAAAGCGATATCAACCTGCATGAATCAAAGGACAAGACATCTAGGACCCTTGCACTGCCTCCTGTGCAGCTGCTCCTGCGGCAGGACCTTCTTCACAACAACGTACTCCGACCTTCTGGTACCAATCCTCTTGCTGCTACACCACCACTGCTCCTATCCTGGACGAACAGGTCGCTAATCAGCTACAAATACTTAAGGAATTCAATGTTTGGGCCAAGAAGAATTCAATGTCGATCTTAGCTATTAAGTAACTACCAGGAGAATTCAATGTTTGGGCCAAGAAGTATCACTTCTTTATCTTCTGGGTTACCTTGAATATGTATTTCGTGATTTTTATAACCTGCTAAACCCTATCGTGAAGCACTTTATGGTCTGAATGGCATCATCTTTGGTTGCAGGCACAGTAGCTGGCAGAAAAATATTTAGTATGCATCTGAGCCTAAGTTATACCACTATGTTTTACCCGTTCCAATAGGTCTATCTAGTTGCAATGCTGTCATTTCTCATAAACTAATTGAACTATTTTTTTTATCATTGGTGTCATTTCTCATAAACTAATTGAACTATTTTTTTATCATTGCTGTCATTCCTCATAAGATAATTGTGATGTATGACCTGTCAGTAGCATGTTTATTTGATAAACTCTTGCAGCCTCCAAAATCCAAAATCTAAACTCTTCGTGGCTGTATATGGTGTTAACTCTTGGATGAGCTCCTGCTACAAAAATCTAAATCATACTTGATCAAAACCAAAATTGGCAAATACTTAACTTGGATGGCAATTGTCAACTGCAGAAACAGTTGGCCACCAGCCGTCAGCTACGATGGACATTGGATTAAACACACTTAATCTATTATTGTTTCAGATAATAGGTCATGCCTAGAGGACGATCATTCGATCAGCTTTTAATGGCATCAGCAAACTGCTGGACCTTCTTAGCATCTCGCTCAAGCGTAAGAAGTATTAAAAGGGACGAGAACTTGCGAGTTCGGAAGTCGGAACATATTTGCACTGATGTAGGAAGCATAAAGAAAACAACATTCAAGCAGCAACCACATAAGTAAAATCTGTTAGATACTACCAATGATCTCTGCTTCGAATTTTTGTGGTGATTTATTTCTCAGGGATTGACATATCGATATTTATTTGTAAGGTTCTATCTAGATTTAGACACAAGAAGACATTGGATTATTAGTAACTATTCCTGATAACGTCTGTCATTGAGACTTTTTAAGTTACAGAAAACAATTTCTTCATTTATCCTCGACTGTCAAACACCAGGAACTCTCTAATCGTATCAGCCCCAACCGAACCTCACATTAGAACAACCCTGGGCGAGGAGCCGGCTCCATCAACCCAGTAGCGTGACTGCATGAGATCCGACCGACGAGGCGGCCGAGATCCAGCGCGACTCGACCGATCTAACCGGGATGGGTGCGACCAGAGACATGGATCCGCGGCACGGAGAGGCCTTGTGGTAGGGTCGTGAGCAACGCACCTTGTGGTCGGATTCGGAGGCAGAGGCGAGTGCGAGCAGGGCAGCAATGGTGATGGCGAGGCTGAGCAGGAGATGGCGGCCGCGGCTCCGGCTCGGGCGGAGCGGATCTCGCGCTCGCTCGCATCCTCCGCTCTCCCCGGGTCCTCTGGGCGCCCGAGGATGGCCAGCAGCGGCGGTGACGTCGAGGAGGTAGCGGCCGTCCTCGTTGTGCAGGGAGAGGTCGGCAGGGATGAGGGAGGTGAACGCGTCGTCGTCGCCTGACTAGTACCTAGTAGAACCTCGTTAGTTGATCATATATAAAATAAAAACTAGTACCTAAAGATCTTTTGCTTCGGAAACAGAGACAGGCCCCTTTGATCCCTTTCACGGCGGCTCGTGGTGCCTGTCACGACGGTGACAGACAGGCCACACCGCCATCATCGGATGAGCATGCGTTCTGTGACGATGACGAGGCAAACCTTGGCACACTAGGATAAGCTAGGGCAGGCATACACGTGGCGGAGGAGAAGAACCGAGGTGATGTAACATCCCGGCCCAGGCTTAACAGGATTAATACGATACTCATACCAATAAGTTGTAACTTCTTTTTTGAAAGTCCATCTATAAATAACTCTGAGGTTAAGCATATTTGGCATGGAGCGATGGGTGACCGACCGGGAAGTTCTTCCCGGATACGCACGAGTGAGGACAAAGTGCGCAGAAAAAACAAGTGTTGGTCTGTGAGGGCAGTCTATATCCTAGTTAAGCTGCCAGATGTAAGCGGGCCCAGCCTCGGAGAGGTGAGACTGAAACATCTTAATTTTTCGCGAAGGAAAAATCCACAGAATGAATTATAATATGATGAAACCAATAGTTAATTCCATCATATTATCATATATCAGTCGATATCACAGTCATACATCGTAAGATTACAAGATACAAGATATTACATCACTGGGGAATACACCTATTACAGAGTTAATCTAGCGGAAGACTATCGAGTGAAGGCTTCTCCTTCACGGATCATCATCAGAGTTGACGTAGTGCAGCGTAGATTCCATCTCTGAACCAAACTTGAGCGTAGGCACGAGACCTCCTAATCCTTCTAAAGTCAGCATCTCTGCAGGAAATCTGCACACCGCCAGATGTGTGCAGGCCATGGTTAGCACCGATGAGCTTTAGTGGAAAAAGATAAACAAGAGATCTGGCGATCATAACATTTGGCTGTGGTTTGCATCCTTAGCGCATGAGAAGTAAGTAACAGTAGTAATGTAATAATAATGTATAGTTTTTAACACATTCCCAGCCACACACATCCTCATCCATATCCATCCACCAACCATCCATCCCAAACCATCTCCACACCACCACACCTTATCTCATCTCACACACTCAGGTCGACAGGCCAACTCCCTCTCGGCCTTGTCTCAACGGCCCGTAGCCCCAAGGCTCACGACCGGAAAATACCCCAAACCCTGGAGGGAGAATATGACTCATCTTCTATCTAGTTTAAGCGAAACCCAGAAAAAGTCCATAGCCGACGAGTCGGCATATGTATCGATCGATCAACCATACACTCTGCAGAGGTTTCACATACCCACAAGATAGCCATCCTCGACGGTGCCCCGTCTAGGCAGATTTCGGCCGCTTGCTAGCCTAGAACGATGCCACCCTACCTCTCAACCCTGGAACATCCCAAGTCTAGTCTGGGATGGCTGATACTGTGAGTCGTAGACAGAGCCGGGGCCCACCGGATGTCAAGAGCCGGTCCACAAGGCCTCCTGAAGTCTCGGAAGGGTGTGGGGGGGAAAACCGCGCACCCCGTACCTCCTTGCACACGTTCGCCTAGCAGTAGTGGCATCGCTCTACCAAGTAGTCCGACCGTCCCGCACCATATAGGGCGAGTGGGATGTAAAGGATTCCCAATGAATCTGAGTACCAGTAAGTCCTTAGGGGTGACCAAGCCAGAATGTCTTCATCGGGGTTTCCATTTACCGTGCCACCACAGCACCTCCACCCCGGGCTCCACCTCTCCGAGGTTCACACCCAAGGCCACCTCCAATTACCACTTACCCGCCATAGGTATTCCATATCCAAGTGCCCAGGTAGCACCACATGGCAAGACTTGCCCCAGGCTCGTCGTTATTCCAGCTCGGTCGACACAACCCTCACTCTCCACGCACCCAAGACACACGCAACACGCTCACACACTACCAAGTCCGGCACCCATAGCCAAACCATTCCCAGGGGGTGCACCACCAGCATCACATCCCCAATATAATGCGAAGTGGAGTTAATAATAAGTATAGTGGTGTAATATGCAAGCAAGCAGGCAAGTAAGCATATATAAGCGAGCGAATGCGCAAAGCAGGGTGACGTGGTAGAGTGGGTTGCATCAGGGTAATAATGGCTCAGGTAGTAGCATGCATCAAAGTTCTAGCAAAGGAATAATTATAAAGCGCTAGCAGTTCTAGATATTATGCAATGTCTAATAGGATTCTCTAAAAGAGGGTGCTGCCATGACACCTGCGATGTAGAGGTAGTAGTGGTTCAATTCTCCATTCGTTGGTGTTCCATTAGCGGGGTCACCTCCTCCTGCGTTGACTCCATTCCGCAGTCCTTGTTGTCGTCCACGTCCTCTTGGTCCGATTGTCAGCTACTCCGCGAAGCGACACGCAAGGCAAGAGAGTACTCAACACTCGAAAGAACGACAGGATGCAGGAGAATCCAATAACACCAGTGAGGCAATAAGAGATACACAGCTTAGCCCTCTCGGCGGTTGTCCGATTTCCTCGAGCCAAAGAATCACAGATGGTGGTTTGCTAAGCACAAGCTTAAGTCATGGCCAAGCCGGTATGGCTTTAGGATAGATGGTTTAAGCCAGAGCTTATCCAGAGCAAACACCACGGCTCACGATCTTTCGATCCGATGTCATTGAATTGACGGGGATTGGAAGTCGGGCCCCAAGAAAGAAGAACGACGGGATTCGGCTCTTAATAGCCTTATCCCGCAAATCACAATTGGACACGAGTAGCATACAAGAACGATTAACTCTATTGTGACTTGGCTCCAACATACTTCGGCTCACCCGCTATGGTAGGAAGCGGTAGCGCAAAGAGGTTGGACAGCGACGGGTCCTCTCGATCCACACGACACATCAATGTCGGGAGTCGAGGCGACAGTCGTTCAACACGGCAAAAGATGCAGGGGTTAGCTAGGCACATCCATGTCATGTTCTCAGACACATCTTCGAGAAAGATGGTTTTAGACGGTCGATCGGGTCGACACGCACAGGTTCGAGGTATGACATAGACCATAGCTTCGCTAACAAAAAGGAATAATCTTGTCTTTGATCCAATCGTCACGGGCAAGACGGGATTGAACACAGCG